TAGTACTATATACAGGAATAAGGACAAAAAGTAACCGATTTTTATCAAGGAGTAATGGCACGAAATGCTTTAATTTTATTGAAACAATTAATTCAATTCTGTTAGTGAAAAATTATTTAAACCAATCCAACACAATTTTGTGGTAATTCAACACTGCAGTACCGTTATCGCCAACCGACAAACGCGACCGAAGCCGCCAACAATCGCACCAAATTGTCCTCAAAGTTAGAAACTAAGTAATTTCGGACGCCAAACTTTTTCTATTCTTGTCCCATGTATCTTAGGTGCGCACATGACGATATTCGGCAATTCCACTTTACCTCGAATTAAGTACAGTATTTAAAGAATGGAATTTTTGAAAAACCTATTTACTGTTAGCAATCTAGAGTCGGATGATGATTTTAATGGAGTGCGTTCACTCTTTGCTGACCCAATTTCTGTTAATTAATCATATAACCAAGATTGTAGTATAATTATTTCATTTTGTGAAGAACCCCCACTTCGCAGGAAATTTTTCAAAATTGCTTTTATCGCCACTTTTCAGAATGTAAAATGAACTAAAATACGCTATATATAATTGTTACGCTTTTTCTTATTGTTCACAAGAGTTGTGACCATAATGATGTACCCTGTTTAATGCCACAAAATATAAAAGAATATCTGGTGCATATCACCATACCTCCATTTTATTGCATTTACAGCGCTGCTGCATACGATAAAAGCAAGGTGAAATAAATGTCAAGATACCATATGAGGCAAAATAATATTTTTGGAAACGCATCTGTATTTTGCATAATAAAAAATGCGAAATTTGGTTCAGAAAACTAGTTATAACCTAATTCTAATGGGATAATTTAGCCGAGTATGGGAAGTGAATATAACGAGATAGAAATACGAGTTTTATCTACAGTTGCAGCATGGCACACTATGTATCTGATAAATATTGATTGCAAAAAAAGTTTGTACTTCGGAAGTAATTTTCCGCTCGCTGCACAACTGAAGTCGAACGATAATTGGATTTGATTAGTATAACATTACACCCCTTGGATTATCTTTCAACAACTTCCGAATTTTTCCTTGCAAGTTGAAATCATGTGCACTTTGGCAAACATAAAGTGCTTAAGCGTTACTTACTGCAAAACACAATGTTTGACTTATGACTTGAGGTGGCTGGTTTGTTAAGAATGTTTTGAATCTTTTCGCGCGTTGTTTGACCTGTTTCAGTTTTCTCTTCATGGGTGTTGCTGCTTGATCACCATCTTTGGTAAACCGCGGTTCACCTACTCCAGTGGGATATGTATTCAATTTTATACTTTTAAACTTTGCATGTTATTCTTTTACTGGATGAAAAAAAACTTGACACAGACATGTATTTAGGTACACGGCACAACCGCCTTTCACATAGTCACTATTTATATCCTGTTTAACTTTACCCACAAGATTTGAGTTTACGATAACAGACCTGGCCTGCATATAGGACATAAGAACATTTTACTAAGTTCTAATGTATGTAATTTCATGCCGCATCCATTAGTGTTTGTGCTTCTATTCCTTGGCAATAAAAGTATCGTTTACGCTGAATAAAAGAACATGGTCTGCTCCTACATTTTCCAAAATTTCAATTTTTCCCCGGGTCTCACACCTGGCATCTCGAAAGTTGACCTTTATCGTGAGTCCATCCGACACTATCGTGTAGAGCAGGGGTGTGCAACCTTTTTCACTGGCGGGCCAAATTTAAGAAACTGAGTACCGCATCTTTATTTAATATAGACTTTCTAGTAGTTACAAACATAAAAATTGTTTATATGTTCTAGTCACTCTATGTCAATATTAGGGTTTCTTGCAGAAATAGTGAGTTAAACGCATAAACTTCTGAAGGAACTGCTATTAAAATTTATCGCCACACCGACTTTAATACAAGTCAGTGAGAAACACGTTTTTGTAATATATATTGTATATTTTGCAACGGAACTTTGCTAGCTAGTTTTGCTAATACGACAGTGGCACTCAGGCACTGGTAAAGGCTTTGTGGCGCAGAAGGATTAGAACTTCTCGTACCAAATTACCTAAACTAAATGCTCGTTTTACGGGCTCACCATCAAAGTTGTTATTTCACCGCGGGGCCGCACAAATTTTTCTTGCGGGCCGCATTTGGCCCGCGGTACGCAGTTTGCACACTCCTGGAGTAGAACTTTCAGTTTACGGTCAGATTGTTACTTAAATGCTTCGATCAGTGTATAAGCCGACATATGGCCATGTTGCATTTGAGCAAGTAAAAATTCACAGTTCGGATTGTGTCCGATTACAGGACATCAAACTCTTACCTTCACAGCTCATTTTCCTTGATATTCACTAATCTGTTTTGGTAATTTTACCGCAGTTACCTGCATAAGTTAGTTATAACTTTTCACCGACATTCATTGTGGGAAAAATACATATAGACTTTTGGATATTGATAAATTGGCGCTCCAGAAGTACGAGTACCAACATGGATGTAACTAATTTTGTTCGCCTACTTTACATCAAGTTGTGTAAAGGGGCGGAAGCCTATGGGCAGCGGGTATGTTCACTTGGCTAACACAAACAGTCCCCGAACTCGTAATAGAACTAAAATAAGACATATCGGAATGAAATCATGGCCTAACTGGTACACATACTACGGGAGTATCGATAAATTATATATTTTTCTAGTAACCTCGGTGCCTTGAGACTTAATTACGGCGTAACTTTAGTTCTGTTGACATGGGATTTTTTATTGACTATTACAAAAATTAACTTTTTTGTTCTCATGTTATTTAATTTGGGTAATTTAATTTTAAGCATAATAATTGGAATAAAAACACATGCAATTTCCAGCGTAATAGCATACGAATGTAAAAAAAATGGATATCACTGAAAGTATTCTCCCAATTGCAGGCACTTCTGACATCACAGTGATTCAAAGTACACCAAATATACATTTTCTACATAAGCGTAATAGAAATCTCCCCAGTGTTTACCACCATTTTATTTTAGCCTATTACAGGGTTTCTCAGACGTGCCCCTTACCCTCCCTCTAGTGGACAACGAGCAAACATCTTCATCAGGTACCTTTCGCGATGACTACAATAATTTAAAGAAAATGAGTGTGATTTGTTTAGTTCTCAGGCTGCAATGCACTTATCCTTTGCTCCCATTTGTTGACTTTAAACTTTAATTTTCTTTGCCTTCATTTGTTATCAATGGATCTTTCCCCGAGCATCGTATTCCTTGTTTACTTCGTGACATTGGACAATCAGCAAGATGCAAAAAGCGACGTAACAGTGCTCCCTTTTGGTATCCGCTCAGACACTTTTCTCACTCAGACAAATTTTCAGGCGCGGTCGTGAACATTACCTCGTTTTCGCGTTTTTGAACTCTATTCGTTAGTTTTCAGTGGTGTTTCAGAAACTTAAAAATATAAATCAGATAATTCAATGATCACCTTGTCTTCCTATGAGTTTTAATTTAATTGCAGTAATAAAAAATTAGTGTAGAAATAGCTGTGATAGACTAGACTAAAATTCTCTACCGGTACTTTTGAAAAACAAATTGTTGTATGCGATCAATCATTATTATGGTTTAAAACACATACCCTATTTTACAGGCGCCAACTCGCAAAAGCACTCTTAAAATAGTCCCGAAAATTTTGCAATGGAGGAGGAATTTTTCGGGGGTCAAAGGTCGGGGAAAGGTCCATAAAATGATTCTGTGTATGTGTACGTTCTGCGTGCAGTGTATGTACAGGATATATTTACTGTATGTTACATGCATGAGTATATAGGCTACACTCCGCTACAGCATGTATTTACAATGAAACCGTGGCATCGATTTTCAATCAATTCGCCACACAAATCTCGTGAAATCTATTCTCTGACAGTGGGCAATGACCATCAGGACCACCAGTTATGTAAAGTACACATATTCGGATATATCCCTCATCCGGACAGTAAAGATTATGATATCGGAGCTAGACAGAGGTTCTATATTTCATCAATGCGTAACGCTATTTTTTGCATATTGCGCCACCACGTAGCATTGCGTCAAGACTAGTCCGCCATCATCCGCTACTTAGCTCATGCCTTGCTGTTAATGATGCGGATTGATACGGCATATGGGCTCGATTTGCGATTTCAATGTAAAGATAATACATTTCTGTGTAGGTCACACACACACACACTGCAATGGAATACCAATTCATTCCTTACATCTGAGCATTGCTTCCTAGTTGCAGGTACTGAGCTCAGCTGATACCATTTGTCGCTGAATTGGTGACAAGCCATTCACGGCAAACAAATGGATGGAATGGAAAAACGAGAATTCCGTTGGGCACACCTGATTTGTTATGTGCAGTTTGGTGTCGCGAACCAAAAGTTACCACAGAAGATGTTTGTATAACACATTGAACTTGGGAGCCTACGAAGTGATCTTTATAACATGATCGAAAGTTTTTTTTTCAACAAACATCTTGGACTGAAAAAAGTGCATCAGCATGACAGGCGCTCACTGTCCACTCTGTTGCGCTCGATTCTATGTGTACTTCTCACGCACATTAAGAGATTGTAGAACTTCAAAAACGCGTCCCGATAACCCAATCGTGACCCCGAATTTATGTCGTTTTATTGTTATAACTAGTCCGTGCTTTCAAGCAATTAAAGTCTGTAAACTGCGGTTAAAGTGCCCCCAGATACGTATGTGCCTTCCAAGTGATGCCCCAATATAATTCAACTTGAAATCGGTGAATATCCTCAATAACAATCAACAGACTATATTTCATATCAAATCTCGAACAAGAATTAGAAACTTAGAGCTTGTTACCGGGTTCGTGGGTACGAGGAACGGTTTTCTATAATTATTAATTATAATCCAACGTAAATACAACTTAACTTATGTAACTAAATATAAAGAACAGCAGTTATCATTCTCTTTGGACTATATTACAACCCTAACCTGCATCTCTACATTATATTACAAACCCATCGTAAACCCTCAATTTTAAACCCAACTAATAACTTCAATCCGAATCATTTATTCTAATTGCAAGTAGTAAACCCAATATTAAACACGATAGAGATATTTGTACAAACGCAGAATTCAGCATTCATCAAACGCTCATCGCTTAAGGATCATGATAACATTAAAAACAGGAAATTGTCAAGGGAAATGCGTCTAACTTAATCTACTAATCTAAAGGAACTTTTTTGAAAAGTTGAATTAATAAATATTATATTTCGTACATTAGCGCTTTGGATATAGCTCAGGTCTGCTCAAATCTCTGAAACATAAATCGATTTATATAGATATCATTAAAATATGTATCGAGTAATGAGCTTTTCAAACCAAGAATACAGAATTAAATAAATATTCATAGGTGATACATTATCCTGGCTCTTTCACAATCCGTGAATTTTACTAAAATATGATTTAGTTTTTTTATAATCAGTAGAAAAACATTCAGTTCGTTCTTCTCCATACCACCATTTTGATATACTAAATGTTTTACCTCTCGATCCCTCCATATATTTTTTGCAGAGTACACAAAATTCTGTTCCTTTTCCACAAGCATATTTTAAATGAGGCGGGGGAATTTCTCGCCATTTGAAATATTCCTTATAAGCGGTATCGTTCTTATCCAGATAGTTGAGATAGTTTACCAAGTCTTTCGGAGATTTGAAGTCTTCTGCGTGAATATATGAATGCGGAGGTGCCACTGATTTTATATCTTCTTTGTGAGGACCTATTACCACTGGCAATAGACCATGTTCGAGAGAATTTAGCCAAAATTTCTCAGTAATGTAATCGCGGCAATGGATACTGTTTTCAAATGACATAAAAAATTTATATTGCATCAATATGTCATCCATACTTCCGTTGTGATAGTTACCAAAGCATTTGCCATATCTGTAATGATGAGAAATTAGGATAGAATTAGGATGTTGCTAACTGTAGTTTGTGAATGGTTCAGTCTTTCGCGGAATCTAGTCCTTTCACACACAACAAATATTGCGGTAGAGTTGTGAGTTATTACTATAGGACAGGCGGGTAGTTATTCCGAAGAAAAGGCGGAGGAATTCAATAAAAAGGTTCAGTTTTTTTTTGTGAACCACGTGTTCGGTGTGTTGGGTGTAGAAGTATCTTTTTCGTTTCTGAAAAAGAGACTTGAACTATTTTAACTAGCACATGAATTAACATATTGGGGTTAGTATTAGGGGGTGTAGATTGAATTGCTTAATAAACACACAAAAATCAACGCCGGTCATTTAAGCCTTTGAGTTTAGTTTTGGGAGTCAAATGTTCTGGTTATTGGCGGACTCGAAAAATATATTTACAGATTCTATTTGAGGGTTTAGAGAAAAAATAACAAATGAATTGTGTAGAGAGATGAATTTGCGAAACAAATATAGGTTTCAACAGAAGATGTTCACAATTCAAATGAAATATTAGAACAGAAAAGAAGGGAACTCAGCGGTATCTGGGCTTGTCTATGGAGTAGTTATAAGATAAGTTTGTCAGATTTAACAACAGTATAATAAAGAATAATAGAAAATGAGGAACATGTCAGGAGACATTACTGTCAGAATTCAATATACTTATCACTAGTTCGCATACAATGAATGATAAAGAGGCGCTACAGAAGTATGTGTGGAGGTAACTAATTTTGTTCGCCTATTTTACATCAAGTTGTGTAAAGGGACTGAAGCCTATGGGTAGGGGATATAATTCACTTGGCTAACACAGACAGTCCCCGAACTCGTAATAGAACTAAAATGAGGAAAATCGGAGAAAATTATGGTCTATTCCGAACTTGGTACACATACTACGGGAGTGCCGAAAATTGTATTTTCCCTAATATTTATCCGCGCGACTTTTTACAACTAATAAAAAATTTCAATTAAACTTCAAAAAACATACCTGTCAAGACGAAGACCATTTTGTATAAGCATATCTGAATATTCCTTTCGAAGTTTTGCCCCAACTTTGTTACATGAGCTGGCAAACATGACGGCTAGTTTTGGCCTGTTAGGCTTCAAAGGAAAACGTTGAACCTACAAAATATAAGCATAGATTTGTCAATATATAGAAGCATTATATTAGGAGATCTTGAAATAAGTGCCAATCTGTTATCGGCTTCGATGCATCCACCAAATAATAATCCAAAATAAATTGACAAAGTTATTAGATTTACTCAGGAACCGAATAAAAGTAAAACAGAGAATATCTCATTATTGTCCGTTTTTGGCTTTTGCTTATTGAATTTTGTCAAATTTGTCGAACGTCGGCATCTATCCGCTTCTCGTAGTTTTAAAAAAAATGTTAGAAAAAGTCTAATGAAGAATTAATATTTTATATCAATACTTTCCTACTTTTTCAATAAATCTCTCTCCCCAACAACCATATGCACTCATGACGTCAGAATCTCTTCTATACGTCATCGTCATGTTGAATAAGTTGTCATAATTTTTCAAATCGGCAATATTTTTACCCAAGTAATTTGTGTGATATGGACTTTCTTGAGTATAGAACACGTACGTTTGGTTCATAAATCTTAAAAATATCAAAAACATAATTAAACACACGGATAGATAACACTCATTCAAAGTGATATATAAGAGAACAGTTTCAGTGTTTCACTCATTCAAAGTGATATATAAAAGAACAGTTTCAGTGTTTTGTTATTGTATTTTCACACTTGAGTGTCTTTTCGAGTTTTTCAATAAGTTTTTTTAATAAGTTTTGATCTCAAATCAAATATTTTTTGTCTAACATTGTTGTAAATGTGCTGAACTTATCATGGTTTTGTTTGGGTTCGAATTTTTCCGAACAGAAACTCATGACACCATTTCTTTGAGCGGAATTCGACATATATTGTAAATTTTAATAAATAAAGTATATTAATATTTAGACCATAAAAATTATCCGCCCAAACACTCTTCATTCTTCTTTATCAAATTTTTTAATAATTGAATCAAATGATTAAACTTCAAAATTTTTCATAATGTTCTTGCTGCAAAGATTATTACATATTTACCTGCTCTTTGGTATACTTCCTCCCCTTTCAAGAAAATTACTATGAAGAATTATAATTTCGCTTTCGTTCAGTTTAGACTTATCGTTCGTAAAGGTACATCCACCGCACTTTTCAAGGTTATCTACGATTATTTTGCCACCATATCTTCTCTCGAGAAACGGGGGCGGATACCACAATAACATAGTTGGTAATTTTGATTTATGTGTTGAGGAAAATGTCACCATCTCGCTCAAATCTGTAGGTATTAACTGCTGCTGAGTGGTACTTTCGAGTAATTTTTCCTTTTGGTCACTTTTAGTTTGTTCTGTAGATCTGATGTTTCTCATACTGGTTGGTTTATCTGTTGAATATTGGGTCTTCATCAATGAAGTTCTCGTTTAAGGTTATTTTTGAAGAAAAAAGAAAAATTTAGTAAAAAAATATTTACATAATTTTAATCAAAAGTATATGAGATCTGATTAATCAAATGATGCCATTATGAATTCATAAAACGTGATATGATAATGATGATAGAGAAAACGGAATGAGGGCGAGGGGAAAGTAACACAGTATAGCATATGAGAAATATAATTTACCAATTTTATCTTCTCCTGATTTTCTCCAAATAAGCTTTGCTATTACAGTACGTACTACACTAATAAACGTTTTGTTATGAGTAGCATATATCATAACAAAAATTGAGAAGATTGGAAAAAACCAAATCCATTTTCGTTGGAAAACCCTCATCATGCAAACATGTGGTCCATTCGATATATTACCAACAAGATTGACAGTATAGCACTAAAACTGCTTGAAACATAAATTACCAATTATATAACAATTGACAAATATACGATGAACGGCTACTCACGTTTTTAAAATAAATTTATATGTATATCGGATTTTAGAGTGCTATTGATTCAAGCAAAGAACAAAATGTTTTCCACTCATTTTCATAGTGACTGGCTTATTTATGCAGGCTTCTTGGAAGAATATTTTAGCAATGTACTCAAACCATAGAATCGGACTAATTTCATGTATATTCTGGTAATCTATATTAACCGGAAAATATAATGCTACTGTGTCGAAAATACCACATCAAAAGGCGACAATAGAATTTGCGTTTGCGATATTGTACAGTTATATTGGTGGAAACATGATATGCCGAATAAATTAGACAACTAAAACAATTAAATGATAATAGCGTCGAAATGATACAAGATGATAACTCAAAAACTGTTGGGACGTAATAAACGAAACTATGGAATTCAGCAATCTTATTTCTTTACTGTTTAAAACAACTGTGAAATTTCTAAAAAAAGGTAAAAAAAACTTTTGCTAGTGCGTCTGCTGGATCCGGTACATGTACTGTTGTGCACTTGGCACTATTGCAGCCGGGGCTAGATTCAGGCAATTAGAGTAATTTCGGCTACGTTGTTATTTGTGAGGCCCTCTTAATTACAGTGACCCATAAATTGTTTGAAATATATTATGACGCCATAATAGATATACAGTATATGATAGATATATTTTTAGATTGCGTGAAATACGACAGTCAAAATAGTAAGTATGCTGATAAATCAAGTAAATTGGATAACAAATTGAGTTTAATAGAACTTTGATAAGAAAATGGAGGCCTTAATATGACACCATTTTAAATCTGTTATAATTAGGTGTAAAGCTCTAAAATTTAAAAATAAATATATAGTTTATGATTGAAAGGCGAGTCCCCTTGGGCTTAACCTTGCCTTGCCTAATGGTAATTCTAGAACTGATTGTAGCCTTTTCTTGCCAACTCCTGATTCCAAATTTGATGTGAACAAAAATCTAAAAACCTCCAACAAACATCGACTATTACTGCGATCCTAACTTACAAGATATCGTACCCGTCGGTAATATTGTAATCTTTATGGTAATTTTCTTTGCGCACCAGTGAACATAAATAGGAACCACACAATTTAGAACGATAAAACAACAGTTGACTGAATATTGTATTGGTTAAGGGATTATGTTAAAATCAATTGGTAATTTATTGGCCTTAGCCGTAAGAAAGCTAGGAGTTTTTGCGCTACAACTCGTTTAGAATATTTCTGGTTTCGTACATCGCAATACATTTAGAATAATAGGGTTCTTCAACAGACCCTCAGATGTGATGTGGGTCAATGTATTGAGACAAAAATCGGTCTCAATCGCCATTTGAAAGGCCTCATCAGTACCACTACACCATGGCGTTCAATACCAATAGCTTCGCCACTAACTAGATCGGCCCAGTCGTTTAGACGCTACAGCTAAACACACTGTCGACGGCACATGTACTAAAATACTGTATACTATTTATCGAATCTAAATTCGTCTACAGGCATACGAGGAAATTATCGTCCTTAAGTTAAGATGTACTTCTTCAACAATACCGCCATGGCTCACAAATAATACTAAAATAACAGAATAGGGATTAACGAATCATTCGAGCGTGGGTACTAATTTAGGACAATGTGCACTACGCGTACTTCTTGTGCTGTTTCAGTCATACATCACCCAGGCCAAAGAGGCAGTAAATAATTTGTCTGTTCCACCTTTGCGCCAACGCAGTCTGGCGTAAATGTCTTGAAGCGTATAATTCTCAAATTGCTTGCACGACAGCTTTTGCTTACGATTTTGAAAGATTGAATTAGGCGGTGATATAAACTAAAACCATACAAATATCACTGTGTGTCAGTGAAAGAAGTATTCATTGGAGATATCATGAATGATTTTATATACTCGCTTGCGAAGAAAAAAATCTTGTATTGGGACTGCGGGCAGAAATAGTGTCGGTACCTAACACTCGTCTACATTAACTATTGACTCTGTATGCTCGGAAGTATCGCAATCGGCTAAATGTAGATCGATATTTCCAATATATCTAGCTTTTGACTTTGATTCAGAATGTTTTGAAAAATAAGTTAGAATACTAATGTTGAAACTATTTTTTACTTAGATAGATCGTGAACTATGAGCCATGCACGACCCTACCCCCGTGAGTTGAAACGGGAATGGAATTCTGACCTGTTTTAGCTATTTATCAGTCAAAGTGACTCAACTAATTTGGCAAGTTTTGCTGCCAAATTTTTATATTGACATTTTTAATGTATATTACATGGTAATTATGAAGAAATATAATAATAGAATATTAGTGGATTTTCCGATGTGTAAAATACAGAATACGACGTTATATTGGCACAAAATCCTACGCACGTAACTCAATGTATCAGTTTGAGAGGATAGGTATATACTTTTATTTGTTTCACCACCCACAGTGGCCTGACCCTATGCGTTTTTTAATTGAACACTGTGATTACTAGCGTCAGTGCACAATGCATCTGAATCAATTACCGCATCTGGATCCCAAACATCAATTTCTTATCATGCGATATTTCTCTTTTTCAATCTGAAATAATGTTCACTGTGAATATTGCTGCCAGACTATTGTTTTTATCCGTCTACCCTGCACACCTAAGATAAAATTTACATAGTATCGGAATCGGCAATATCGGCTTTTTTGAAATATCGGTATCGGCGTGTTCAGTTGGTATCGGTATCGGTATCGGCGACAAAACTGCTCTCGGTACATCTCTACTCTATACGCTGATACAGTTTGATTCGTTGCACAATAGTTACAATCCTTGTAGTTTGTTATTTTTATACTTCCTTCAAGCATATGGCAAATTTTCCAATGTAATTGCACGCAATGTTTTAATTTGAGTGCTTCAATATGGCGTTTAACAAGGTAGGCCTAAGTAGACGTAGTTATGTCTACATCCTGCAATTCGTAACTTAGTTGATTTATTCAGTGACTCTCTCTACAGTGAAACTGATGCTCTTCGGGGCTCTCAAACAAAATACCACAAACCAAATTAAAAAATTAGTAAGTTGGAAACCTAATTTTTCATCGGAATTCATATCGAGATGGGCTTACCATACGTCCCGCTTTAGGCGGGACAGTCCCGCTTTTTGGTGTCTTTTCCCGCCGCCCCGATAAGTCAGTCAAAAGTCCCGCTTTGGCGTTAAGCCAGTGGTGGGATTCAATTTCTTTGTCAGCCGGTTCCATCACAAAAGTAATATTTTCCAGTCGGTTCTGTTACAAAAGTCATTGACAGTAACCAGTAATGCTAACCGGTTCGCTGATTCCATAAAATTCCGTGAGACGGTTCTATAGAACCGGTGCGAATCGGCTGAATCCCACCACTGCGTTCAGCCATCCAGCATAATACACGAACATGTTCTCGTTACTGTTGTTGCTGTGTATCACAACGCTAGCCTACCTACTGAAGATGAATGCGTTGTTTTGTTTGTTTCGTTGTTTCCCGCTAACATTGTTAGCGAACGTATCACATGTAAAATCACCTCTAATTGGTCCTGTTCGGACGTTCACGTGAATGTAACATTGAACAACGTCTTTTTGTAGGTGTTATCTGCAGAAAAGCATGCTTGGCCGAATAGGTAAATTCTCAATGCGCAAAAACGGCAGACTACTTCATTGTTCTTTATTCCTTTTGCTGTGCATAAAAAATCTAAATTCGGAGCATTTGTATCGTTAGCGTCTATTCCTTTCTATTTTTCGAACTGAACCCGATATTTAGACAGAGAATATGCGCATGAACTCTCGATGACAATATGCTCAAGTCAAGACAGCCGGGATGGCTTTAAATGTAGGCCTATGTAGTAAAATCGAAAACTGTAAAGTTACATTATCACAGCTAAAGGAGTCGTGTCTTTTGAATCGTCCCGCTTTGAAGTCAAAAAAATATGGTAACCCTATATCGAGATAATAATAAAATGTCTTCGCCATGCATGAGTAAACTGCAAATAATGGTTGGTAGGTCTTTGATAAAAATAAAACAATATGGGCTCAAGTATTGGCTCAGAGAAACGAAAGATTTCGTACCATCTATCAGTTTTGAAAAATTACAACGTGTGACCTGGTGATAGTATTAAAAGTATAGTGTAAATACAACCAAAAAAGTCAAGCAAGAGTAAAGAGAAAAAAAGGCGAGACAGATGAATTCGGAGCACAAAGTCTGTATAAGATTAAGAACGACAGCAGATCAGCCACTGTTGAAGAGAAATGGAACAAGCCGTCCCAAGTATTCCGCTACCGAGAAGTATTCGAAAGGAATTCCTGGAGTTGTGAGCACCGCTCGCGCTCGGGATAGCACAACTCACAATAGGAGGTCAGGTTCGCAGGTTGTTGAACGGAGCGCCGCGAAAACCTGAAAACTATTCAGAATAAACACTAGCGTTCCAAACCAGATACATATATTGTAGAGATAAAGGGTCAAGTTATATCAACATTTGAAATATACAACAAGAACATATTTTATTCAATCCTCGGAATGCCAGACCGAGAAAGACTACATCAATGTTGGCAAATACGCCTTGGCTCATTGGCTGCCACGAGAAAGCTAGGCAATGGCAATAGCAAGCATGTAAAACGACGGTCGTTGCGACTGCCATCATCGAATTTATTTATTTGTTCTTGTTTTTCTGCTTGTAAAGTATGATACACTACGCAGGGGTGTGCAAGCTTTAATACGCGAGGGCCAGATACAAATAACTGGGTACCGCGGGTCACAACTTTACTCAAACTAAGCTTTCTAGTGGTTGCAAGCACGAAAATTTTGGTTATTGATTTTATGGCACGGGTTCTTTGTTTTGCACGAGCTAACTATTGTAACGTCATAGGCATAGATAATAAATTGTATTCAGTTACAGGCTTTGCAACGCAAAGGAAATTGAATATCTCAGCACTTTAAAGATTAGACTAAATCGCGGACTGCAAATCATTGAAAATTGGCACTTCTCCGCGGGCTGCACAATTTTTACTTGTGGGCCGCTTGCGGGCCGCAGGTTGCACACCCCTGCACTACAGTATGGCCCAACAAGTTTGTTGAAATGGTGACTCAACTATTATTGGCTGTCTTGGCTAAAATAGTGATTCCAGGTTTCGCTAGACAATAGACATCAACAAATGAATCGAAAAGCCTGAATCAAGTAACAGAGTATATTTGATACATTTATAATATAACTAATAATATAGCACAAAATATTTTTAGTAGTCGAAAATTTAAAATAGAAGATCATACAACAATACATTTGCGTTAAAGCATTATATATATATGTTTGCACAATTCATTTCATGGCATTAACTGCAGCATAGATGATGTTCTGTGAGCAATAGGTATTTTATACATACACATGAATAAAGAGAAACTATTATTAATTTTTACCGTATAAACAAGGTACAAACTAAGAACCGTGCCTAGCAAAATTTGTTTTTCAACGGACTCGTTTTACCCAACCAGACATTGCTCACGAACATATGCAAATCATAGTGCAAACATATTCAACCTCAATTACGACCAGACAATAAATAATAAATAATTGCGGCAAACTCAAAATCCTACGAATTATCATAAACAGTCAAAAAGTAGACGTCCAATGCCGTAACTTTTCAATGACAATTCTGTTTTATTTGGAAGTTTTAACCCGCATTGAGTTTTCCAATTACTGTTACTACATCCATAAAGTCTTGGTGTTTTAAACAAAAAATCAAATCTGAACAAAATTGGATTCAATCCATCAGATTATCATGATATTGAAATATGACGAACGTAATGATATTACGAAAATATTTTATATCAGATATATATAACTTAGAATAATATCACACGTGAACTCAAGCCCGTGAAACGGTCTCCCTCTCGCTTGATAAAGCATGGAATATTTTTAAAAAAGAGAACCATTAGTTTCATTTTATTTGAACAGAAAATGTAAATATACATACATACAAAGAGATGAAAGTTCCCCGTGACAACAAATAAAGCTTGCATAATCATTTAGTAAATGTTTGAATGATAATGCAGAAGTGACAGCCAGTGGCGTATCTAGGGTATGGCAGCCATGGCTCGTGCCATGGGCGCCGTTTGGACGGGGGCGCAAAAACGCGAAAAGTTCTTCTGGTATAATATTTCAATAAAACTTGAAAATAGTTAAAACTTGTATTTTTAATTGAATAATAACTAATCCAACAAAAGTAAATAAAAATTGTCAGCCAACGACCAAATTAGTTTGTTTGTTCTGTCACTTAGCGCAATTGGCGGTGACTTCATACTTCAACATGAATGAACTTAAATTGATACGGTACTGGACTAACTGCACCTCATATTTGCTCTGATATCGTACTGGAGCAAAAATTTATGAATATTCGTACAATGAGAGAGAGTGTTTTACAGCGTAAAAAATAATTTTAAGCAATAAAACCGGAATTATTGACGCCGAATTCCATATACGAATTGAGAAGAAAAGGCAAAAATGGAGTGAGATGCTTAAATGAATATTGCATGGAATAAAATATCTGGGGGACCAAAAACTCGCTTTGCGCGCTTGGCCTAATGAAATTCCTTGCCGCTTTTGATCCTGTATTGCGAGAGCATCTCGGTCTTTCTGGGTCTTTTCTGGGTTTCCCTAATCCCAAATCTCCGGATAGCTTTGCAAATTTTGCTGACAGTGGCAGTATTTATAGAAAGTTGCGAGCGCTATTTTAGTAAACTAAAGTTAATTCTGTCATAGTTCCGATCCTCAATTAGCCAGGAAAGGTTGTGTGATCTGGCTTTATCACGTATAAAGAGGGTTGAAAAAAAATAATAAATTTTGATGAAATCATTGACGAATTTGCGTCAAGAAAGTCACGAAAAGTACTATTCTAAGATCTTTTTGTTGCCCGACCATCCACTGCTTTTTGTTTATTGTGTCGTTATTAAATTGCTTGTTATGTAATTATATTTCGTGGTTGGGAGCAATCAATTTCATATAAACGACAAAAAGAAACAAGCGAAGTAGAGGGCGCATTTTTAAACCTTTGCCATTGGCGCCATTTTACCTAGATACGCCACTGGTGACAGCCACCCTATTTTACCTATTATTTACGAGGGCGTTTGCCCAGATGCAGCACAATAGAATTATGAAATAAAGCGTGTCAATTGATATAACCTGTTTCATTTAAAAATAAGATTAAATAGTCTATGTTTCTAATGGTTCGGATCAACAAATTAAAGTTCATTGAAATATGGTATTGGGAAGTTGAACAAACTTATAACAAACGTGAAAATGACTCATTTAAAGAAGAAAAAAAGACTAATATTACGATAAAGCAAAATTATGAGGATAAAGCAAATTTATTATTAATTAAAGACGCCCAAATATATATATATTATAAATATACATGAATTTATTCTCAGCTCATTTTTTTGGTCGTTTTTTTCCTCTCTTGGTCATTCTCCTCTTTAGATTTTCGGTTTCACTCCCACTACTTGATGATGAACGGGGCAAAACATCATTCACAGGATGTATATTCGTGAGATCTTTCCCAGAAGTTGGTATAGGGGGAAGTAAACCTTATGGATATTTATATTAAATGTTAAAAATACTATTACTGCAGCTTCATTTTATTTCATTTTTTCTTTTATTCCTAGAAGACGAAAACGTTTGTTCTCGGAACATAAATATTTAATTCTTAACATACAATATGTAGTATCATAGGATAATATGAAAGGAACGTTACTTACGATCTCTGTATCGATCCATTCTAGGCATGGTTTGACTCCTATCCGATCGGTTGAATCGATTTTCTCCTGACTCATATTCTGGCGGTGGTAGCACCTCGTAGTCGTTTTCTGAAGTTGATGTTTATAAAATGTCATTTCAATTAAAATTATGTCTTCTATATTTTGCAAAAATCTGCAATATTTTAAAAATTTGACATGCTTTTCACTTTTTAATTACTGTTTGTTGGGGAAATTCAATACACAGTACAAGTTTGGGGCTAAATTATTTTTATTTTGGCGAATGGCGAAAGTATCCTAAATAGTTTTTTGAAAAACGATAAAAACCCGCCCCACCAGTTAATGAGTTTCTTCTTCCATTTATCACGAGTTGTTGAATCACTTTGTCCTTTTCTTTATCTGCCTACATAAATGCTTAGTGTTTAATACAATGATATTTGATACAGCATCATAATGCAGGTATTTGTAAAAAAAAATATCTAAAAAATACGAAGGATTAAAAACATATAGAGTGAAACATCAAACATATTCTTCATACTTTAAATGTAACTTGTTATATAATGATTAAATTCTGAATAAAAAATAAAAGGAATTTTACTTGTTTCAGTTCTCCGTATTTTTGTTTGTACTTATCCCTGTCCTTTTCAGTTTCTTTCAGTTCTTGGCGTAAGCATATTTGGCTGTCCTGAAATTATAATGTCGAAACCATTTTGTAAAAATTATATTTGATTCTATATGTAACTTAGCACAATATGAAGATTTAAAAAAAAAGTTCATATCTAATAAATATAAAGGCTTTTTATATGAAACAATATTTCTTACAAATTACTAAGAAAATTTAAAAACAGAATTTTCCAGATTTTATATTTATATTCGACGGTAATCAAATGATGATTCAATTAGTAAAATATAAATTACCAAAAGATTTTTGATGTATTCCTTGGTAAAGTCCTCATCTCCTAAGATATTTGTTTGATTGAAATCCCAAAAGGAAGTGTAATTATATTTATCTTCATCCATAATGCCTTGGACGTTGCATTCGACGACGCGATTACCAACTTGGCAACTACATAAGCCCAAGTGCCCCTTATGACTGCACTGCACACGATTATGTTCTGCAAACTTATACTATTCAGCAGAGCTTTACTAGGGTATATACCTGGGTGATGGAATCTAATTTGACCTATTTTATTTTTAGTCAAGAATCTATTCTGTGTTGCAATATTGCATGTTAATAGTTGAAAGTTGGACAAATAAACTAGGTAGGGTATTGTCGTGTTTAACAATCCCAAATCCACCATCTAGCAAGAGAAACAAATATTGAGTGAACAGCAATTCCGGGAGCAGTACCAATTTAAATATCCTCATAAAAAGTAATTTCCGACTACCAATATATTATACTAACTTATTAGTTCAACGCATTAAAAGTGAATCTTCTTGCCTAGTTGCTGCGAGATAGAAGATGATAAGCTCTCGTTTAATTAGAAAATATATTCGAGGTAAAGCTACAAATGACCACTGGCAAACATAACGAAGCAAATCTAACAAGTGGCCACGTCGTCGAAGAAACGTCATGTGCGAAGACAAGTAGATATCTGCGATTGTTAAATTTGAGTTGGAGGGGTGTGAGCGACTACTAAGCAGTTGCAACCAAATCTCTATGTATTTTTAAAAATACTGACGAGTGTTTTCTGGCCGATGAAACCTGATAAACAACGACTGATCATTGTTGACACTTGTCTGATAAGCAATCAACCTGAATTTCTTCTAATGATGATGTAATCACCGCAGAGATAGTATTGAACAAAATTGGGAGCGTTTACGTATTGTAGAGGAACAATATCATTGTCGATTCGAACGTAGTATGAACCCGATTTAGGTACGTTGCATGGTAATGAAACTAAAGTCTGCCTTCTGCCCTATAAGATCAAATTGGTAAAGTTCACTTTTGTTTGCTCGAATTCATGAAATTTATTAATTATCCCAGTGTTCTGCATTCATATTGCATTTAAAATTTTGCCAATGAAATTCAAAAATTCGTCGTCGTCACTCCATTTTCGATTATCGTTCCTCACCAGTATAACTTATTTTATTAATACTTCATCACATGACGAATCATCGAGATGAACACTGTTGATTCCTTTTTTCTTTAACTGATTAGCGATTTCATTTCTAACATTTTGTGATGGTCGTGTTGTTCTCGTGAAAGCCCAAACCAACAAGTTTTCTGAAAATAAAAGGCGCAGAAATGTTTATTCGAACCCGAACATAAAAGACGTAGAAATTTTATTCGAAATTTTACTATTAAAGTTCTACATTTCTTTCACAAAAAATAGGATGTTTTTTTTAGACAAAATGACCATTTATCAATTTACCATATGTTTTATTAGTTTACCATATGTACCATAGCACTTTGCACTTACGGAAAGTAAAAGTATTTTCACTCGAATAACTCGCTTCTATTCGCAAAATTTAATAAATAATATTTGTCTTAAACACAAAGTTAAGTTTTTGAATGCTTTTGGCGGTGACCAACCAACGGAATACAATTTCTATCTTCAATTTTTTATTATCGGTATTTTCAATTATTATGTCAGAGCATAGGCAGGGGAAGGCCCTTAATAAACTTAGATAGGAACGAATTATGGTGTTTCAAGGTAATAGGAGTGGCATTATCAATAGTCAATATGGAAAATTGGCTTGTTTTGTAAATGTATTGCTGAGGAGCTCAAATATTACGTTTTGTGTCACCTACCATTTTCAAGGCACACAACCATGATAAGATAAGTTTCGTAATCTGTAATTGTTAGTCTTGGCGTCTGCAGCATTTCTGAAGTTTCTGAATTGACGATAAAATTACCCACGTTGTCATTATTTAATTTTGATGGCAATAATTCAGCTCATAATCGTTACATGCTGGTCCAATTATACTGGCAACGCTAATTGGCAACTTGGATTCATCTTTTGGTTTATTTGATACCCGCCGCAGTACCAACACTCCATTAAGTATATTTTAGAAACGAAACAAGAATTGTGATATTTTTCGGCCATCATTAGCTATCTTATAAAGAAGAACTAATTGTCAAGGTATTATTGTGGAGCAAACAACGGAATCCTGCGATAATTGTGTAGATTCGACAATTGCGATTGTGTACATTTACCAAATTGAGCAACTTTCATTAAACTTTATGACAATACTATATCATATATTATAGTTTATACCACTCTCATTACCCAAAGCTAAAGTTAAATATATTTGCAGATACATTCAATCAACTTCATTTATTACATACCCTGGGCCGCCTCCATGTTGAATTTACCATTGCCTTTGATACTTGTGGCGAAATAGACATCAAGATCTGTAAATCAAAAACACAATTTTATTAAAATATGGATTCTTCAACTTTTTTCATCCCCCATCTCACCTTATTATTTGCATTTGTTGCAGATTATACACTTACCGCTGTCTGCAACATAGAGATACTTTCCATCCCCTTTCCCCTGAACATGTAGTTTAAACTGGAATGGCAGGCGACTGTAAAATGAATAGATTTTTAAATACATGTCACGTGATTAAAATAGATCAATAACAAAAACATTCTCATCTTACTTCGAGTAAAAATTTTCAAGGACGAAGGTTGCGTCCATGTTTTGATAGTCAGGTGATGAAACATTTCGGATGGTTACGCAAAGAAGGTCATCTGTAATTTGGCTAAATGTGTTCATAGTCAAATACCATCCATTCGGTACCTGAGAAAATTATGTATATTGTTTTTATTGCCAACAAGACAAGCTAAAATGCAAGCAAGGTCGCGGGTAGAAAGAGCCAACATCCATCCCACTCGCTCACATTATGTTTAGAAACGGGGGGTTAATAAGCACAAACGACCTTTTGAAAATTACGTCTATTACGCAGATTATGCTTCCTCCAATGTAAGACTGCAATCATTCTAAAACGCCATTTCCGAAAAATAGTCTTATTTTACTCTTATTTTCAGATTGCAGTGATGTATTAAAGAAAATAAGTAAAGTCAAGTCAAGTTATTTTTTTCCAACCAGGAAAAAAAATCACGATCATAAATTACGACAAAAATATAATTTACACAGTTTTACTGGGGCAGGGAACCAGAGATTATATAGGAGAGATTAGAAACATAAGCCCAACAGATGGGTGGGGAATTCCCCATTTCAAGGGAATCGCTATAAGCAAGTTCTGTTACGAAAATTTGTCTGGGGAATTTTGAAGGTGTCCTAGAATCTAGTTGGTAACCACGTGTTTACAATGTGCAAGCATCGGTAGAAAAAGTGAGGTGTAATGAATCACGCTGACACAATGAGTTTTATAATAATAATAAAACAAGAATATCGGTCAGAGACCGAAGATTTATCGATCGAAAGTTAGGGGATTCCACAAAACAGCGCTCTTACTCCATAGTGACACCTTGTGTTCCATCACTAATTAAATAATACCTCGCAGGAGCAGATTCAATCTTGCTTTCGTGAGATATCGCGTGTATCTAACAGACAGACAGACAAATACCTATAAACATACTTAGTACTTACCGATTAAAATCGATAGGTAATAAGTTACATTAGTTCATTGCTGATAAACGGGCAACTTTACCCGATAACTGTACCTGAGGTCTATATACTAAAAGTCTGAATACTGAAACATATATAAATATATTTTTCAGGTATAGGTTAACAATAAGTACCGTAGTCTGCAGAGGTATATTGGCAATTTATCGGATACATTGGATGTAACATAGCATATTAGTAGAAATAGCCGGGATACAAAGAACAATTGTACCATAGTGATATATTTATGAATTATAAAAATTGAAAAAAGCAGTAAAACGAGAATATCGGTCAGAAACCGAAGACTTATCGATCGAAAGTTAGGGGATCCCCCGAAACAGCGCTCTTATTCCATAGTGACACCTTATGTTCCATCACTAATTAATTAATAACTCGCTAATTAGACGACATAATTCATCCAAATCAATAGGCTTCTGGTCCGACATATGATGAATGCACATGCAAAATCTGGAGCAGATTCAATCTCGCTTTCGTGAGATATCGCGTGCATCTAGCAGACCGACAGACAAATACCTATCAACATACTTACCGATTAAAATCGATAAGTAAAATCACTGAATGACAGGAATAAACAAGCATAACACCAGGGGACCCATTCGGCAAACTTCTTTATCAGTTAACGTGTTAGTAAAGCACCGACTTTCTCGTAAAAGGCAAAAAATGGTATTCACGAAGCATCGTAAATATTCGAAAGAAATTATTCGAGAGAATTTTTTGCGCACCAAAACAGACATCTCGTACAGTGCCTTCTTCTCTCATTTTACCGAGAATCAGGAGTGCTCGCAAACTAACGAGGGCTGAATTATCCTCGTTAACAGTAGTTCGGCCTGTTCTTAGCATGGATTCGAGTTGAAATAGTCATGCTGTGGTGTTTGCATGCAGCTACAATCTCCAAATGCCTAACATGGGTAAGGGTAACTGTAACGGCGGGTGAGTGATCATACGGGGTAACGGGGGTATTGTTCAACGACGTCCGTGCGTAAGATTTCGACAGAACTTGCGTGACCGTGCGTAAAGTGTTTACGAGATCACTCGTGAATCGCGCCTAACGAGATTTCGCTGTTGCATTTTTGAGAGACGAGATTACGTACTCGTAAACGGGGATGTTTAACGAAGTTTGGCGAATGGGGCCTTAGGTAAGGCAAAATTGAAGTATTCTGAAAATACTTTTATTGGAAAACCGTCATTTGATAATCATTGAAGTATAGTACCGTACTGTGTCATTGCAGCATTGCATATGGCGGTATGACACATTAGTGCAAGTGAGGAGAATAGGATTTTCACGGGTAAACCAGAAAGATAATAAAATTGATAAGGGCATCCTACAATATATTGGGATACTAGATGTTTGTTTAACTCAGCTTTGAATATATGGTGAGCCATGCTTTTGGTATGCAATTGGTGGCATGCACTTGGTATCTCATTCCACATTTTTACTCCCTTATCTAGGGCAATTTTGAGTTTCGAATCGTGACAAACGTGGTAAATAGAAAGAGTGGTAGAATAGCCATCAAATGCAGTGGGTAGGCAATGATTGTGATATATGTGCATGAGCTTACAAACTTCTAATTTGTAAATATCTTCAAGCTTTAGAATGTTAGTTTTATCATATTGAAGTTTAAACCAGCAGAAAAACCATAACGAATTTTAACGGCTCTGTTCTGAAGCACTTTAATTCTATGCAAAATTGATTGCGATGCGGAACCCCATGCTGCAATTGCGTATTGAATATACGATTGGAGTGAAAAATATACCGTTTTGAGAGTAGGTGTATCAACGTAATGTCGAAGTTTACTCAACATCCCTACCGAACGTGGAAGTTTGTTACAAAAAATAGCAGCAGTCGTTTGGCGAGTTTATTGATACTTACAAGGGAGGAATAGTATTCAGTTGCGATTATTTTGAATTTTGTAATACAGATCGTATATAGATTACTATAAATTACTATAAATATCTCCTACATTTTTCCAATCAATGTCTTCTCCACCTCTGAGAACTTGTTTCGTGCAATTTTTGCAGGCCACACATTGAAAAGCGATGAGTAAAAAGAGTAGTAATAAGTGTTGAATCATTTTGTTTAAGTAACTGTAAATGTTAATGAAGATTATACTGATTTCCGCGTAACTAATAGATGTTAGACTATAGATGTTATAGATGTTAGACTATCGCGGACACACATTCGTGCTGTCGGAGATCTTACGAACGATTCTGCCCGACTGAAAAGCGTCATTCCAAAATCCTACTCTAGACATTGTCCTAGACGCCTCAAAATGCGAAAAGCTGTTTAAAGTAAAGTTAAGGTTTCAAATCCTGACTACGCCAATCTGAAATGTTGACTGATTTAATGACCTGGGTTTCATTATACTCGGAGTGCCTTTTCATTTGCATTAGAGGCCTTATAAAATGCATATCATCAGGAAATCTCAAATTGAAATTGGCCCCTAAATGAGCGTATTTAACGTTACAATTAACAATAAGTTACGTTCCACTCGCAGTATATTTTCTGTCCTGGGGCTCGAAACTCATTCGCATGTTCTATCTTCTGTGTAGTTTATATCAATGTTCGTCATATTAAAATAGATATTCCTACAACAAATCCACCTACGATATATTTGAAATAAATGGTCTGTACTGCTTCTCCTGTTCCACGTCTGAATACTTTGTTCGAACTAATGAATATATAATAAAACTGAACGTGTATGGACTTTGTTTTGAGCCGTGACTTTGAAGTCACGAAGTTTACATATGTTGTGTCTAGTTCAAAGCACGACAATGCATCGCACTGTAATCAGTCATATTTTAAATGTAATTGATATCTTGCACGATACTTATTGATACACACAAAGTCTGAGAACAACTTGCCTCAACTCACCCCTATTACAGTGCACTATCAGATTTCAAGTCGCGAAGTACAATTCAATATACTGTATTTTACTTGTGAGTGAAAACTAGTCAAAATTGATCAAATCTTCTCAAAAACATAAATGTCGAGTGACCAAATTCCATACCATTTGGCTACCGTCTTTATTACTTCTCCGGATCACCAGGAGTTTGCAAATCGAAAAGAAAGACAGCCGTCACACTTTCATTAGAACCTGTTCCCGTGAATGAAGATAAAACAGCAGAATTTTAGATAAAATATCAGATTTCATAGGAAATCTACGAACAAATAAAAGTAATAGCCTTCTGGCGACAATAACAATCTATAACCACTGTAAATACGAAAACAATTATTCCATAGATAAAAGCGATTTATTCCATAACAATAACAACAAGAAGAAGGCAATACTAATAAGAAAGACGAGAATAAAAACCTAATGACAAAATGGCCCATATGTACCGCCATGGCTCACAAATAATACTAAAATAACAGAATAGGAATTGACGAATCATTCGAGCGTGGGTACTAATTTAGGACAATGTGCACTACGCGTACTTTTTGTGCTGTTTCAGTCATACATCAACCCAGGCCAACGAGGCAGTAAATATTTTGTCTGTTCCACCTTTGCGCCAACGTAGTCTGGCGTGAATCTCTTGAAGCGTATAATTCTCAGATTGCTTGCACGACAGCTTTTGCTTTCGATTTTGAATGATTGAATTAGACGGTGATATAAACTAAAACCATACAAATATCACTGTGTGTCAGTGACAGAAGTATTCATTGGAGATATCATGAATGATTTTATGTACTCGCTTGCGAAGGAGAAAATCTTGTATTGGGACTGCCGACAGAAATAGTGTCGGTATCTTGTCAAGGCTGAAACCTAACACTCGTTTACATTTACTATTGACTCTGTATTAGAGATGCTCCGATGTATCGGTATCGTCTAAATGTAGACCGATATTTCCGATATATCTAGCTTTTAAATTTGATTCAGAATGTTTTGAAAAATAAGTCAGAATACTAATGTTGAAACTATTTTTTACTTAGATAGATCGTGAACTATGAGCCATGCACGACCCTTCCCCCCGTTAGTTGAAACGGGAATAGAATTCTGACCTGTTTTAGCTATTTATCAGCCAAACTAACTCAACTAGTTCAACCACAAAATCCTACGCACGTAACTCAATGTATCAGTTTGATAGGATAAGTATATACATTTATTTGTTTTACCACCCACAGTGGCCTGACCCTATGCGTTTTCTAATTGCCGCATCTGGATCCCAAACATCAATTTCTTACCATGCGATATTTCTCTTTTTCAATCTGAAATAATGTGCACTGTGAATATTGCTGCCAGACTATTGTTTTAATCCGTCTACGCTGCACACCTAAGATAATATTTACATGGTATCGGAATCGGCAATACCGGCTTTTCTGAAATATCGGTATCGGCGTGTTTTGTTGGTATCGGTATCGGCGACAAAACTGGTATCGGTACATCTCTACTCTGTACGCTGATACAGTTTGATTCGTTGCACAATAGTTACAATCCTTGTAACTTTTATCCTTTTATCCTTTTTTTTTATACTTCTTTCAAGCATATGGCAATTTTTTCCAATGTAATTGCACGCAATGTTTTAATTTGAGTGCTTCAATATGGCGTTTAACTTAGTTGATTTATTCAGTGACTCTCTCTACACTTAAACTGACGCTCTTCGGGGCTATCAAAACAAAATACCACAAACCAAATTAAAAAATTAGTAAGTTGGAAACCTCATTTTTCATCGGAATTCATATCGAGATAATAATAAAATGTCTTCGCCATGCATGAGTAAACTGCAAATAATGGTTGGTAGGTCTGTGATAAAAATAAAACAATATGGGCTCAAGAATTGGCTCAGAAAAACGAGAGATTTCGTACCATCTATCAGTTTTGAAAAATTACAACGTGTGACTTGGTGATAGTATTAAAAGTATAATGTAAATACAACCAAAAAAGTCAAGCAAAAGTAAAGAGAAAAAAGGGCGAGACAAATTAATTCGGAGCACAAAGTCTGTATAAGATTAAAAACGACAGCGGATCAGCCACTGTTGAAGAAAAAAGGAACAAGTCGTCCAAGTATTCCGCTACCGAGAAGTATTCGGAAGGAATTCCTGGAGTAGTGAGCACCGCTCGCACTCCGGATAGCACAACTCACAATGAGAGGTCACATTTAAAGTCGTTGAAAGGAGCGCCGTGACAACCTGAGAACTATTCAGAATAAACACTAGCGTTTCAAACCAGATATATATATCGTGGGGATATACTAGGGGTCTCCAACACGCGGCCAGCCAGCCTTTTTTTTGCGGCCTGCGTCATAGTTGGGATTTTTCCACAAAAAACTAAAATAGTACGATGTCAACTATTAGTAGATTTTATCGTGAAGAGTCCGGTCCGACAAACTGTGAAGAGTGAAGCAAAATTCCCCCCTGTTGTCCACGTTCATGTTTTATTATATTGTTATAATGCAATGATAAATGCGATAATTTCATTTCGCATGTTCATTGGCACGAAATAAACGAGTTTCGGTCAGTCCATTGTGCCCGAAGAAAGATTTGCAAAGCTAATTACACATTCACTTTGCATACCTGCGATGTTTGGCAGTTTTTATATTTGCGAGCAGTTTTTTTCGACTATGAATGTTAGCAAGTCAGCCCTCCGCACACGACTAACGGACGAGCATTTGCATGTTGTCTTAAGACTAGCACACCGACGCAAAATGAATTGAAAATCCTGAATCAAGTAACAGAGTATATTTGATACATTTAAAATATAACTAATAATATGGCACAAATATTTTTAGTAGTCGAAAATTTAAAATAGAAGATCATAATACATTTGCATTAAAGCATCATATATATATGTTTGCACAATTCATTGCATAGCATTAACTGCAGCATAGATGATGTTCTGTGAGCAATAGGTATTTTATACATTCACATGAATAAAGAGGAACTATTATTAATTTTTACCTTATAAACAAGGTACAAACTAAGAACCGTGCCTAGCAAAATTTGTCTTTCAACGGACTCGTTTTACCCAACCTGATATTGCTCACGAACATATGCAAATCATAGTGCAAACATATTCAACCTCAATTACGACCAGACAATAAATAATTGCGACAAACTCAAAATCCTACGAATAATCAAAAACAGTCAAAAAGTAGACGTCCAATGCCGTACTTTTCAATAACAGTTCCGTTTTATTTTGGAGTTTTAACCCGCATTGAGATTTCCAATTACTATTACTACATACGTACATTCTTGGTGTTTTAAACATAAAAATCAAATCTGAAAAAGTTGGTTTCAATTCATCAGATTATCGTGATATTGAAATATGACCAACGTAATGATATTACGCAAAATTTTTTTATCAGGTATATAGAATTTACAATAATATCACACGTTCACTAAAGCCCATAATAGGGCCTTTCTGTCTCTTGATGAGAAACACAATAATCTTGCAATAATTAAGAGTTTCATTTTAACTGAACAGAAAATGTAAATATGCCAACAAAGTGAAACAAAGAAAGGTGAAAGTTCTCCGCGACAGCAAATAAAGCTTGCATAGTATACGGTAGAAAAGTTAATTATTAAATGATTACAGAGTTTGCAATGATAATGTAGAAGTGACACCATAAACAGCATAGTAAGAGGTATATTAAGCAATTAGGAGCATAGTGATTACAATGGAGTAGGGCTTTTATGAAGAATTATGAAATAAAGAGTGAGGATTAATATACCCTGTTTCAATTTTTAATTGGATTGAATCTTTTATTTATATGCTATATGGGTTCGGATCGACAAAATGAAGCGGCGTTTTTGAAATTTGATATTGAAAAATTGAACTAACTTGTAACAATGACATGAAACAATGAAAAACGACTCAATTAAAAATTAGTTTTAAAAAGCAAATGCAGATCATGCAACATTATCATTAATCAAAGACGTACAATTATATATATATATATGCATATGGACTTATTCTCAGCTCATTTTTTTGGTCGTTTTTTTCTACTCTTGGTCATCCTCCTCTTTAGATTTTCGGTTTCACTCCCACTACTTGATGATGAACGGGGCAAAACATCATTCACAGGATGTATATTTGTCAGATCTTTCCCAGAAGTTGGTATAGGGGGAAGTAAACCTTATGGATATTTATATTATATGTTAAAAATACTATTACTGCAGCTTCATTTTATTGCATTTTTCTTTCATTCCTAGAAGACGAAAACGTTTGTTCTCGGAACATAAATATTTAATTAGTAACATATAATATGTACTATCATGGGATAATATGAAAGGAACGTTACTTACGATCTCTGTATCGATCCATTCTAGGCATGGTTTGACTCCTATCCGATCGGTTGAATCGAGTTTCTCCTGACTCATATTCTGTCGGTGGTAGCATCTCGTAGTCATTTTCTAAATTTGATGTTTATAAAATATTATTTCAATCCAAATTATGTCTTTCATATTTTGCACAACAATAAGCACTCAAATATATTAAACATTCTTTTTTTTAGCATGCTATTCACTTATTAATCACTGTTTGCTGGGGAACTTGAAATTATTATTAAACAGCAAGATTTGGGCCTAAATTATTTTTATTTTGGTGAATGGCGAAAGTATTACTAAATAGTTCATATCAAAAAACGATAAAAACCCGCCCCACCAGTCAATGAGTTTCTTCTTCCATTTATCACGAGTTGTTGAATCACTTTGTCCTTTTCTTTATCTGCCTGCATAAATGCTTAGTGTTTAATACAATTCAAACCGTTACAAGTTGCATTCGTTTTGTAAGCCGCCTGATATTTGATACAGCATCGTTATGCAGGTATTTGAAAAAAATATATCTAAAAAATACGAAGGATTAAAAACAACAATTGTGACTGGTAAAATCTTCTGTATGAAGTAATTCGATTGTAATTGAAACATAGGACTTATAGAGTGAAACAACAAACATATTCTCCATACTTTAAATGTAACTTGTTATATAATTATTAAATTCTGAATAAAAAACAAAAGGAATTTTACTTGTTTCAGTTCTCCGTATTTTTGTTTGTACTTATCCCTGTCCTTTTCAGTTTCTATTAGTTTTTGGCGTAAGCATATTTGGCTGTCCTGAAATTATAATGTTAAACCATTTTGTCAAAATTATATTTGATTCTATATGTAACTTAGCACAATATGAAGATTTAAAAAAAAAGTTCATATCTAATAAATATAAAGGCTTTTTATATGAAACAATATTTCTTACAAATTACTAAGAAAATTTAAAAACAGAATTTTTCAGAGTTTATATTTATATTCGACGGTAATTAAATGATGATTCAATTAGTAAAATATAAATTACCAAAAGATTTTTGATGTATTCCATGGTAAAGTCCTTATCTCCTAAGATATTTGTTTGATTGAAATCCCAAAAGGAAGTGTAATTATATTTATCTTCATCCATATTGCCCTGGACGTTGCATTCGACGACGCGATTACCAACTTGGCAACTACATAAGCCCAAGTGCCCCTTATGACTGCACTGCACACGATTATGTTCTGCAAACTTATACTATTCAGCAGAGCTTTACTAGGGTATATACCTGGGTGATGGAATCTAATTTGACCTATTTTATTTTTAGTCAAGAATCTAGGCTATATAATATTGCATTCTGTGTTGCAATATTGCATGTTAATAATTGAAAGTTGGACAAATAAACGAAGTAGGATATTGTCGTGTTTAACAATCCCAAATCCACCATCTAGCAATAGAAACAAATATTGAGTGAATAGCATTTCCGGGAGCAGTACAACTTAAAATATCCTCATAAAAAGTAATTTCCGACTACCAATATATACTAACTTATTAGTTCAACGCATTAAAAGTGAATCTTCTTGCCTAGTTGCTTTGAGATAGAAGATGATAAGCTCTCGTTTAATTAGAAAATATATTCGAGGTAAAGCTACAAATGACCACTGGCAAACATAACGAAGCAAATCTAACTAGTGGCCACGTCGTCGAAGAAACGTCATGTGCGAAGACAGAGGGCAGATTCTTGTTAAGCACAAGTAGATATCTGCGATTGTTAAATTTGAGTTGGAGGGGTGTGAGCGACTACTAAGCACATGCAACCAAATCTCTAAGTATTTTTAAAAATACTGACGAGTGTTTTCTGGCCGATGAAACCTGATAAACAACGACTGATCATTGTTGACACTTGTCTGATAAGCAATCAACCTGAATTTCTTCTAATGATGATGTAATCACCGCAGAGATAGCATTGAACAAAATTGGGAGCGTTTACGTATTGTAGAGGAACAATATCATTGTCGATTCGAACGTAGTATGACCCCGATTTAGGTGCGTTGCAAGTTAATAAAACTGAAGTCTACCTTCTGCCCTACAAGATCAAATTGGTAAAGTTCACTTTTGTTTGCTCGAATTCATGAAATTTATTAATTATCCCTGTGTTCTGCATTCATATTGCATTTAAAATTTTGCCAATGAAATTCAAAAATTCGTCGTCATCACTCCATTTTCGATTATCGCTCCTCACCAGTATAATTTATTTTATTAATACTTCATCACATGACGAATCATTGAGATGAACACTGTTGATTCCTTTTTTCTTTAACTGATTAGCGATTTCATTTCTAACATTTTGTGATGGTCGTGTTGTTCTCGTGAAAGCCCAAACCAACAAGTTTTCTGAAAATAAAAGGCGTAGAAATGTTTATTCGAACCCGAACATAAAAGACGTAGAAATTTTATTCGAAATTTTACTATTAAAGTTCTACATTTCTTTCACAAAAAATACGATGGCGGTGACCAACCAACGGAATACAATTTCTATCTCCATTTTTTTATTATCGGTATTTTCAATTATTATGTCAGAGCATAGGCAGGGGAAGGCCCTTAATAAACTTAGATAAGAAAGAATTATGGTGTTTCAAGGTAATAGGAGTGGCATTATCAATAGTCAATATAGAAAATTGACTTGTTTTGTAAATGTATTGCTGAGGAGCTCAAATATTACGTTTTGTGTCACCTACCATTTTCAAGGCACACAACCATGATAAGATAAGTTTCGTAATCTGTAATTGTTAGTCTTGGCGTCTGCAGCATTTCTGAAGTTTCTGAATTGACGATAAAATTAACCACGTTGTCATTATTTAATTTTGATGGCAATAATTCAGCTCATAATCGTTACATGCTGGTCCAATTATACTGGCAACGCTAATTGGCAACTTGGATTCATCTTTTGGTTTATTTGATACCCGCCTCAGTACCAACACTCCATTAAGTATATTTTAGAAACGAAACAAGAATTGTGATATTTTTCGGCCATCATTAGCTATCTTATAAAGAAGAACTAATTGTCAAGGTATTATTGTGGAGCAAACAACGAAATCCTGCGACAATTGTGTAGATTCGACAATTGCGATTGTGTACACTTACCAAATTGAGCAACTTTCATTCAATTTTATGACAATACTATATCATATATTATAGTTTATACCACTCTCATTACCCAAAGCTAAAGTTAAATATATTTGCAGATACATTCAATCAACTTCATTTATTACATACCCTGGGCCGCCTCCATGTTGAATTTACCATTGCCTTTGATACTTGTGGCGAAATAGACATCAAGATCTGTAAATCAAGAACACAATTTTATTAAAATATGGATTCTTCAACTTTTTTCATCCCCCATCTCACCTTATTATTTGCATTTGTTGCAGATTATACACTTACCGCTGTCTGCAACATAGAGATACTTTCCATCTCCTTTCCCCTGAACATGTAGTTTAAACTGGAATGGCAAGCGACTGTAAAATGAATAGATTTTTAAATACATGTCACGTGATTAAAATAGATCAATGAAAAAAAACATTCTCATCTTACTTCGAGTAAAAATTTTCAAGGACAAAGGTTGCGTCCATGTTTTGATAGTCAGGTGATGAAACATTTCGGATGGTTACGCAAGGAAGGTCATCTGTAATTTGGCTAAATGTGTTCATAGTCAAATACCATCCATTCGGTACCTGAGAAAATTATGTATATTGTTTTTATTGCCAACAAGACAAGCTAAAATGCAAGCACGGTCGTGGGTAGAAAGAGCCAACATCCATCCCACTCGCTCACATTATGTTTAGAAACGGGGGGTTAATAAGCACAGATGACTTTTTGAAAATTACGTCCATTACGCAGATTATGCTTTCTCCAACGTAAGACTGCAATCATTCTAAAACGCTATTTCCGAAAAATAGTCATATTTTACTCCTATTTTCAGATTGCAGTCATGTATTAAAGAAAATAAGTCGAGTCAAGTCAAGTTTATTTTTTCCAACCATTAAAAAATATCACAATCATAAATTACGACAAAAATATAATTCACACAATTTTACTGGGGCAGGGAAGTCGCGGGGAACCAAACTGGTTATCGAGCAGCGACACCCAAGGTTCTAATATCTAATTAAAAAAGTATGAATTCAAGAGTTTTGAAACTACTATAGCTTATATCTACGGCAAGTACCGTATGAAATAACAAACTAAACCAGAGATTATATAGGAGAGATTAGGAACAAAAGCTCAAGCCCAACAGAAGGGTGGGGAATTCCCCATTTCAACGGGATCGCTATTAGCAAGTGCTGTTACGAAAATTAATCTGGGGAGTTTTGAAGGTGTCCTAGAATTTAGGTAACCACATGCTTACAATGTGCAGGCATCGGTAAAATAGCCATGAAATGCAGTGGGTAGGCAATGATTGTGATATATGCGCATGAGCTTACAAACTTCTAATTTGTAAATATCTTAAAGCTTTAGAATGTTAGTTTTATCATATATATATATCATATTGAGGTTTAAACGAGCAGAAAACCACATTTTTAATGCTCTGTTCTGAAGCACTTTACTTCTACGCAAAATTGATTGCGAAGCGGAACCCCATGCTGCAATTGCGTATTGAATATACGATTGGAAGAGTGAAAAATATACCGTTTTGAGAGTAGGTGTATCAACGTAATGTCGAAGTTTACTCAACATCCCTACCGAACGTGGTAGTTTGTTACAAAAAAGAGCAGCAGTCGTTTGGCGAGTTTATCGATACTTACAAGGGAGTAATGGTATTCAGTTGCGATTTTTGTAATACAGATCGTATATAGATAAATTACTATAGATATCTCTTACATTTTTCCAATCAATGTCTTCTCCACCTCTAAGAACTTGTTTCGTGCAATTCTTGCAGGCCACACATTGAAAAGCGATGAGAAAAAAGAGTAGTAATAAGTGTTGAATCATTTTTTTTTTCAAAGAAATTGAAATACTGCAAAATGTTAATAAAGATTGATAATACTGATTTCCGCGTAACTAATAGTTGTTAGACTATCGCGGACACACATTCGTGCCGCGGAGATCTTACAGACGATTTTTCCCGACTGAAAAGCGTCATTCCAAAATCCTACTTCAGAATTTGGGGCCTAGACGCCTCAATATGCAAAAAGGTGTTCAATGTAAAGTTAAGGTTTCAAGTCCTGACTACGCCAATCGGAAATGTTGACTGATTTAATGACCTGAGTTACATTATACTCGCAGTGCCTTTTCATTTGCCTTAGAGGCCTTACATGAATAAAAGGCATATCATCAGAAAATCCCAAATTGAAATTGGCCCCTAAATGAGCATATTTAACATTACAATTAACACTAAGTTACGTTCCACTCGCAGTATATTTTCTGTCCCGGGGCTCGAAGCTCATTTGCATGTTCTATCTTCTGTGTAGTTTATATCAATGTTCGTCATAATAAAATAGATATTCCTACAACAAATCCACCTTCGATATATTTGAAATAAATGGTCTGTACTGCTACTCCTGCTCCACGTCTGAATACGTTGTTCGAACTAATGAATGTATTATAGAACTGAGCGTGTATGGAATTTGTTTTGAACCGTGACTTTGAAGTCACGAAGTTTACATATGTTGTGTCTAGTTCAAAGCACGACAATGAATCGCACTGCAATCAGTCATATTTTAAATGTAATTGATATCTTGCACGATACTTATTGATACACCCAAAGTCTGAAAACACTTTGCCTCAACTCACCCCTATTACAGTGCACTATCAGATTTCAAGTCGCGAAGTACAATTCAATATGCTGTATTTTACTTGTGAGTGAAACTAGTCAAAATTGATCAAATCTTCTCAAAAACATAATGTTGAGTGACCAAATTCCATACCATTTGGCTACCGTCTTTATTACTTCTCCGGATTACCAGGAGTTTGCAAATCGAAAAAAAAAGACAGATGAAAGTAATAGCCTTCTGGCGACAATAACGATCTATAACCACTGTAAATATGAAAACAATTATTCCATAGATAAAAGCGATTTATTCCATAACAATAACAACAACAAGAAGGCAATACTAATAAGAAAGACGAGAATGAAAACATAATGACAAAATGGCCCATATGTACATCGCCTCCAAAAACTTTCCTGTCAATTTAGGTTTCTCAGACGTCGAAAAATGTATGTGTCGTCTTGAGGTGGAGGCCAACAAACATTTTTTGAGCCGCTAGTTGGCAAAGAAGAGACAGACTTAGGGGCGCTCTCGTAGTATGTGAACCAAGATGTCGGACACCGGAACGTAGTATGTGTACCACCTTAGGGTTCTATTTTAGTTCCATTACGAGTTCCAAGTGACTTTCGTAGTATTCGTACCGGAAATTTATGACCTAACCTGGTACACATACTAAGTTCCGGTGTCCACCATCTTGGTTTACTTACTACAGGAGTACCGATGAACACAAAATGATTTTGTGTTAACTATGTTCCTATCCACAACTGCCCAATAATCATATTCGGAGAAGGCAGCTCATATGTGGACTTTTTAGAACATACATCCATTATTTTTCCTATTAGTTGTTAATTAATGTTGCATTGACTCTTTTGTCATAGTAAAACACAGTTGTGATGGTATTTATTACTTCTTAGCAGTCATGAAATGTGTTCGAGTGAAGGCAAAGTTTGAAATATTTTGCATTGATACTCTAGCATCGACGACGACATTCTAAATCGGGTCTTCTTTCAACTCGTCTAATTCCGTAGAGGATGTGAATTTTTACCAGTCATATGAAACCTCGAATGGCACGATCCAAGGATTTTAGACTACAGATGAGCATAATTCACTATTCCGGTCTGTGTGTGTGAATGTGTAGGATGAATGGAACTACGGTCACAATAACGCTTGAAACATTGAAAAGTCGAGTTACAATACTCAGATCATATTATGGACTGATTGTGATCAGGTTAAAGCGGAATAGTCGCAAACTTCTGAGTAAATGTCAGAATTCTACCAGAAGTCACATCAATATGGATCATAAAGGCGAGGTAAAATATTCTTCAGCAGAACGCGAACGAAAATTTAAAATAAGGGGTAGCCTTCTAGAGACTCCTTCCATACTAAAATACTGAAATTTATAATCGATTTGATTCCATCAGTTGAAGTTTTTTTTTTACAACGGCCGCTTCAGGACCTATAGCAATTCAATAGGTCCACTTCGCGGCCAATAAACTTCCTGGCCTACTCCGTGCTGATAAATTTCCGAGAACAGCCGAACGGTGTTATCAGTATTTATAGTCTTAACTCCCCTCCCAAATCTGTCTTCAAAAACAAAATATATTTCTTTTGGTTTATTTTATTCTATTTTATTATTTACTGGTTGATAACAGTCAAAATTCGTGGAAAAAAATTTCAAATCGATGTTGTTTTGAGTTATGGATAAGATCAGAATAAAATCGCAAGATAAGCATTTTCTTAATAAACAAAACATTTTCTGAAAAGATACCATCCGGCTTTGGCAAAAATTAAAAGTCGTTGACCGTAAATACGGCAAAAAAATGAAAAAATAGCCTGCATAACTGGAGTGCGATATTAGCTACTCCTAGTGGGAAAAAAATTCCATTTTGTGGCAAATGTAAGACAAGCGTAATTGCCTTCTTTTTGCAATTAGTAAAACACCTTGTACATAACAGGTAACGTGGCACCACCGCGATGTCACAGTAACAGTGTCACGATCTACCTTTTTTTTTGTAGTTACAAATTTACAACAAAAAATTGATTAAAAAACGCGTAAAATTTAATCGCAATTTCAATGTCGTGCGAGAGCCAAGTAATAAACATAGATAACATCATCCTCTGGGGCCCGTTGTTGTTAACATTCGAAAATTTAAAAATTCAAACGCGGTTTTCAGAACAATAAAACGTACAACGAAACGAAAGAAAATTGATAAGACACTGTTGATCGCATAAATTAATGACGTCATAAACGAGAAACGATGCTAATGACGTCATCAACAAAAAGCCATGGGAAGCTAAACGAAATGCACAGAATATGAAAATGACAGGAAAAATGGAACAAACATTATGCAATTGGTAAAAAGCACATGAAAAACACAGAAAAAAATGTCAGAAGAAAAATCAAAAAAATTGAAAAGACGTGCGGGCTTCAAAATTTATCAATAATGAAAATGACATTTCCAAAAAAAACAAATTTTATTTTTTATTTTTTTCAACCGATCAATTTTTAACTGCGTAAAGTAACACCAGGCAAATTTTTAAACTATTTCCAAATATAGAGCCGTTTTGGCGACTTGAAATTGAAAGTTGGGAAATATATTTGCCCTGTTCAAATAATACTGTGTATTGCAGACACTGCCACAAATAGAATTAAAGTGGTAGTTTGGTTGTTTATAATATAGTCGGTACTACATTCTAATCGAAACCCCATCAACAAAATAAATGTTTCTTAAATCTGCACAGTGAACCATGATGGGGACGAAATGGTGAAGTGAACACGACATATAATCGGTACGAAATGACTTTTATCGGAAACCAAAAAAAGACATTTCGTACCGAAAAAAATAAGCGCATAAGTAAAACAACAAAATACCAGAAAATAGCTAACAAACTCGGGGTTCGTAATTTTGCTACTAACCCAAAATTGTTCGTTTTTTTAATAGGAACACTGATTGAAATCAGGTACAACTTATTTGCATCTTCCTAATTTGGTGAAATTACGATCGGACCATCACCATTAGAGCAAATGCAAATAAATCGAGCGCATTTTTAACGGCTAACCTTTGGCGATGATACAAAAAAGGGACAAATGAACGACAAAAAAACGGGTTTGTGAAAAGCACCGGTGGGCGTGACAATAAAAAAATTCTTGAAGAAACTAACAAACAATTTTCATAAAGTACAAAAAGGCAGAAACACATATTTGAAACATAACAGGAAAAAAAAGACTATTCGAATTAAAATTCAAAAGCTAAATACCAAAGTTTTGTCGAGGTGGTCGTTCGTATGGACCGAATAAAACAATCACATGGAAATGACATCATAATCAACTCTAACGGCGACCTATAACTTCGACCGAGTTGTGACAAATTAGCAGCATAAAGTTATGATCTTAGCCTAAGTTGTTCATAGGAAAGGAATTATTATAATTACACAAAAAATACATGAATTTAATCATTTTTTAGAGATGGTGAGCGGACGAAAAAACTCATTTCGCTCGGATGGTGTTAGCACAGTTTAGGTTCCGATGTAATGGAGCCGAAAGAATATAAAAAGTAATACGCCTTAAACAAGAATTTAGCTTATTCTTAGTGTTGAAAAGTTCGAGAAGGAAAAAAACAACAAAAAAGCGGAAGCATATGTCCGGAATGGAAAGAAAAGATAGAAAATTTATCCCCTGTGCCAAGATGTGGGTGATCATAAAATGCCCAATTTGGTCCGAAGATAAATTCCCTATTAAAACATATTGAACTTAATTCTTACAAAAATTTCGCCTCTTTTCCCCTTTCGCGTGGTATTCGTTAAACTTTTGAAAAACAATAAAAAGGAAAATCGTACAATTTCCGAAAAAATAGAAATAAAAAGAAAGCCTATCAATCTGGTGTTGTCGTAATCAGTGAACAGCGCAAAAGAGACATTTGCTGACACAATATTATATACAGCAGAAATTTGAAAACTGTTGGATGAAACATCCGGGTATCTAACCGTCACGGGTCAGCGACGACACCGGATACTCCAAAACCAAGGGTGGTGCTCAAGGTATCTGCAGCGGAAGACACGAAACGTGCAACTGCATTGCGAGCTCCAGGAGAAAACACGGGTGGTGAATCTTCAGAGCTTTCGGACAGCTCCGGCTGATCAACCTCCGACGAATTTCCGCTGATTGTAAAAGTTGCCGACAATCCTTCGCTTCCTTCTTCGCTGCTGACACTGACCTTAAAAGTGTCGTCGTCTCCTCCACGTCGTTTCGCCAGTGCCGAATTGCCAGGTGCGGAAAGCCTCAACTCCGAAAGCGTCATTATGCCGTTGTCGTTGCATGCAAGTTTACGTTCGTAAGCAACAGCGTGAGCCGCAAATTGCGTCAGATCGTGCGCAGAGGAATCACGCCTCGATAACATGGAGGGTGTCGATAATGGCGTCTCTGGAGCAGCCTAAAAAAGTGAATTTATAATTTAGAAAATGTAAAAGAGTGCGCTCATCGAAAACATGTAGTAGTAAAATAGTCTCTTACCCCCTTTATCCACGGGTGCTCCAAAATCTCGTTGGCCGAGTATCTCGCCAATCTGTCCCTTACTAAAAGATGAGAAATGAGGTCTTTCGCTTCGTCAGATACATCCGACCATTGCTCATCCGGGAAACTGTATTCGCCACTCTTAATGCTGCAATGTGGAATGTGAGCATAAGTTAAACTGTACTATATCACGCTTGGAATAACCACTCAAATATATTAAAAACATAACATACCTGGCGAACAAAGTATCCTGACATGTCCTGCAAGCTTCACCGACGTCCCAGCCGCAATCTTCGCCACAAGATCCCACAAACGGTGGTCGTCCGCTCAACATGATGTACATAATGACTCCTAAGCTCCATATATCGCAACGCTTATCGTATGAGATGGTATCTTCGAAAACGAACGCGTCCACTACTTCAGGTGCCATATATTCGGCACTTCCGACGGGTGATGATAGCTCCGGAGTTCGGACAGGATCCCGAAGGCTGGAGTGGCAACCAGATGCGAGATCGAAGTCGCAGATCTTAACTGGAGAGACCTAGAATAAAACTAAATATTAAAATTTGCCAAAAAAAATTATCGATTAAAAACGAAATATAATTTTTTTTGAATGATCTATAACAAAAACATCGAAACCTACCTTCTCCGAATTTTCACACAAAATATTAGCAGGTTTCAAATCACGATGTGCGATTCCTCGATCGTGAAGATATACCAGTGCATTTGCAATATCACGAACAACGCGCGAGGCCTCCGATTCATCGAAATGGGTGCATTGCTCTATTCGGTGAAGTAACGTTCCTGTTAAAGATAAATACAAGATGTAAAATTTTGAACTCGTATGCTACTGCTAGTATCAAAATTTTATTATTGCAAACATGTTTTGCAAATACCATTGCTATCTGCGGCATTTTCATTTACCGGAAATCACGCTTGGAGATACGAGCTAAGAGCGTTTAACAAAACGAGCTCAATATGTGCGCTGGTAAACATCCTATTCCGATTTACGTGAGCAAAGCCATTTACGTTTGCAGCGAGAGAATTTTGCAGCGTCGAACGAATTAAAAAAAAGAAATGAGACTATTACGTCACGACCCGAGCTGCTTCGAGGCCACAAGGAGAAAAAGGCGATTACATTCGTTGAAAATAAAAAAGACTTACCGGTAGATAAAAGCATTGTTCCCCTGGGCCGAACGACGGTTAATTTATTGGGTTTTTGTCCCGGGGCTGTTTGTGGTATTGTATTGCTCTCATATTTCTTCGTTTAACGAGCGCCAGCAAATATTAGTACTTTTGCTATCGCTCAGCAAAGATTTGTTATTCGTTAAAAGTAAATATGACGTCGTCCCAGTTTATAAATTTGAAATAAACAACCATGTTGTCGATGCGAAATATCAAGAGTTTGAAATTGTTTACGAATGTAGAATGGAAAATACCGATAAACAAAAGTTCACGTAAGCCGCGGTTCGCATATTTCTGCCGCCATCAACGAATTTTGTCGGGAATTATGCTATGGCGTATTTAAATACCTTGTTAAAAATATAAGCCAATCGCTTGTCGGTGACAGTATGGCAAAACATATGAGAAGACATGAGCAAAGGTAATTATGATAATGATCACAGCAAAGGCAATTTTGTATGCCTGTCCTTATGAACGCGCCGCAAAAAAAATTACGAGACACCATTGGCAAAAAAAACAACATCCACCGGAAGTATTTTCGTGACAAACATAAAATACATGCAGAACATTCCTAGATAAGCTAAAAGTTCGGTCGCCCGGGGCGGAATTTTTAAATCGCTATTGGTTAAATTTAACCCAGTTTTAAAATAGCTATTGAGCGTAAGTCAACGCCGTTAAATGCCATTGGTCGTGCACGACGGGCGTTCTCGATACGGACATAATAAAAGTTCCATTTCGGTATACCTGCGAAACAAAGTACGTCACGGGGATCATATCACGCCATTGCGTTCACTCGAGCGTATTACCGGTCGATGAACCTTAGTGGAGCAAAAATCGTTGAAAATATGTGGTGCGCGTCAGGTGATCTTGTAATAGGTATATTTAAATTTCAACAATTAGAATAATAATACATTCCGAGCGACCTTGAATCCATAGCAACATCGAAATTGTTTTTTACGTCAGAAAACGCGATAAGTAAAACACTCCCTATAAAGACCTCGAAAACGCCGAATTTAACGATAAAAATTAAAATACATCCGTACGTTCACACACTATATTTATATAATTAAGGCCTCCTTGCTAAATCTAATCAAGTACATACCAAATGAGTTTCTAAAAATGAAGTTTGACATATTTTGCAGGTCGCCATCTGTATCTCAATTATCTTTTACATGCAAATTCGAAATATCATAACATACGCAAATGTGCATATATTACTTTAATCATAACAAAATGTCGGCCTTGTAATTTCCGGCCTGATCTTAGCGCGCTGTTAATAATCAATACATAGCGAGTCGTCTCGGTAGTTGAATAATAACAACTCCACTCACGGCCATCTCGAGCGCATTTCGATTTTTTAAAAAGTTTGGCCGAGGGCCGTCGTCAAAATTAGCGCTTTGTTTGCTTCGGTTTTAAAACCCTCATTCCGGTCAAGAGCCATTCAAAACAAAAGAAATCGGGGCTTTAACGAATGCTAAGTCCTTCAAGATCAGCGAAGCGTCTTTCTACGACGCAACGACGAGTTTATTATACCCCTAATAAATGTTCGAATTACTACTCACCTCCGTACATCTTTTCAAAAACGAGGTAAAATCGGTCAGTGTCTTCAAAATATTCGATCAATTGTAAAATATTAGGACTTCCAGTGCACATATGCAGCAATTCGATCTCCTTGAAAACTTTGCCACGGCTGTGACCGGCTATGTTTTTATCGATGACCTGAAGAATATGAATAAAAAATTTGATATTCTGTTGCACTATCATACCATTTAAAGTTGGCCTCAAAACTGTTGGCAGTATTAGTAGAAAAAAATAATAACCTTGACGGCATATTCTTTGTGCGTAAACTTGTTGTAACACGTCCATACAGTGGCATATGCTCCTTCGCCGAGGAGACCGTCTTCCTGAACATAATAAAGGTCTTCAAACGTGCCGGTACAAAAGCTATCAGCAGCCCGTGTTCGCTTCTTCTTGCGACGCTGGCGAGCCGCTGCTGCAGCCACCTGCATACGCTTGGTTTGATTTATTTCAATGGGCTCGCTGACGTTGTCTTTAAGCTTCATCTGTGACGTGATTGCTTGACGCAACAGATTTTCGGTTTCTTCTGTCAAAATGTAAAATATTAATTGGACGACCTAATTTAAGCTAAAACTGGGGGAACGTGATTACAAATAACACAAATTTGGCTTGTATAATATAATCAGTCTTACCATAGGAGTATCCGTCCTGAGTAATGACATTGTCTTCTGTAACTCCCATATTGAGTTCTCTCATATCGCGTAATACAAAAAGTTTTCAATTAAATGCTCTTCGATGACTTCAATAAGTAAAAAAAATCGATTGACAGTGAGTGATGTCGATACTTCGATCTATCGGACTTCCAAGTATCTTCTATCTGAATATGATTGAATACGACGGTTTTCGCGTTTCCCTCTCTGCAGTGTTGAGGTATTTATTGCACTGTAAAAGAATAAAGTCATCTTGAGTTTTTATGCATTTTTATGGCATATTCAATTTAACGAAAGCGGAAATGGTAAGACAAGATACAATAATATACCGATAACAGTCGTAAGACAGCCGATAAAGAGTACCTCATCTTTAGAATGTGCGATGAACAAAGAAAAATTTGCAACACGGAAACAAAAGTCGTATACTTTTATTTCTATGCAAACGGATTCTATATTTAAACGTCTTGTGACTTGTATGGATTGAATTTGGTGACACATATTACGCATGAAAGAAACTCGAAATAATAGCTAAAAATGGATAAAGATTCATATCCCACATAATCACTGAAGTCGGTGTGGCCAACGATGGCAAGTTCCAGAAAAAGTACACTCTGCGAGGTTTAGAGTTCACATATAATAGGCGCAATCTTTCATACTTGTAAATAACGTGTCCGAGAATAATGAGTTCTATTTTCGTCGGCGGACAATAAGAAATTAGGTTAATATATTAAACTAACAGAGAATTTCGTTATGTCACACATAACTGATAAGATAGAATTACATATTTAATTCTTCCAACACGTCGCTCAGTCGCCTCCGCTAAAATTAGGAACGGCTTTGTGAATGTGATGAAAGACTGTTGCCATTTTACTTTATTGAACTACCCGAGTGCGAGTCTGTTGCATCAGCCATTCGATACTTCCTCGCGTATACGTCATATCATCAGACCATTGCCGAACGTTCGAGAACGCACGGAGACAATTAAAGCGCTTGTGCCATAAGCAGTGTAATTTTTAGTATGAAAAAGCGACTAACGAATGCATATAAAATCTCATAGTAAATAAAAACACCACACGGTCCCTAGTCAGTGGATACCAAGACTTATAAATAACCCTTGGCCTTATTTCATCAACAATTTATAATGATAAATGTTACTAAGTTGAAGGCGAAGCATAGCAGACTATGTATATACAGTAATGAAAAATATTTAAACAAGATATTTTAAAAACCAAAGACTAAAAGTATTTGAACAATCTGGCGCAAATGATTATTCATTGAAAAGCGTGGTGCGTATACACCAAAAAAATTTCAAGTTACAAATTTACTATTGCTTAACTTACATTGCGACAAAATTTACAGTTTCAATTTCCACAAATATTGTAATGACTTGTGCATCCTACATTAAACATTACACACAGAAAGTAAAACCCAAAACTGCAAAATGTGGTTCGATAGTCAGACCATTACATCACAGTTCACAAAAGAATGTGCGTCCAGTTCCTGCCTGGTCAAACTCATGGGGAAGTACCAATGTTTTCACCTCAAAAATTGAGGAAGGGGCATTGTCGTTTGCGAAATGGAAAAATACAGAATGTTCACTTCATGTTGCATCATATTCTATACCACAAAAATGTGACAATTTTTTCTGACTGGATTTAAACATGATAGCTTAGTATAAAGTGCTGAAACTTGTTCTAATAGATAATTAGTCAAGCAATGGTTTACATAATGATACCAATTATAAATTAAGCTATTTAGTTTAAAATTTCAAGGTTCTACCAAATGTTACATATTTGCAGTTCCTTGTCATTTGACTGAATGTTGTGTAAAAAATGACTGTTATACATTTACTTGAGACTACTAGTCTACTACACAGTAATTTTCTTTGTAATAAAGAACCATAGGCAGCTACTGCTGTACTGGTTTACAGGTTATGTTAAATCAGTTTCACACAAGATTTGCAAAATATTTAAAATTTTGAAATATCAATCAAAGAAACAGGTCTTTCTTCATGTTAAGACTGTTGCCTTGTAGAAGCAAAAATACAGTCATACTACAGTACTACCGCACTAAGATGGGCTTATGCAGGTTATGAAAACTCGTAATATTGGACAACAATCGTATGTATTTGTTTCATCCCCCCAATGATGCTTAAGCTTAATTTAACGCTTTGGAATCTAAAATCAAAATAAATCAACATTTACATTTACACAGTTATAAGAGTATTCATCAATTACAGAATTATATTGAAATCAAGTCTGCAAGTCTAAGCTCGCTTTGTACAGTTGTATACAGTTGATTTTAACCAGACCTTCTCACGGACTCGAGTTGCTAGCGTACTGCTGTACTGCATAATCAAAAAATAAATAGGAAAGCATATTTCTGAATTTAGTCACAAGCAATAATACCAGATAGCCTACTAAGATATACTTTTGTAGTTTTTTGGTTAGGATAAGACTGAACCCTGGAACCATGGATAGGTAGACAATAGTCTGATATTACAATAACACAAGTCTGCAAGTAGGAATATTAAGATCAGGATATCCAAAATAAAACTTAGAAAACTTGACTCACCTAAAACAGTAGCTTCACAGTGTAATATTCACAAACTTTTCCTTCTTCAGTACCCCAAAATGACACAATAATCGGTTATAGTAGCAGTGAAAACGAATACAAAACAATTGTAGAAAAACGATGAACTTTCGATGCAGTATTTTCTTTTTTAACTCAACTTGCTGACTTGGCAAATCCAAAATTACAATTAGGAATCGCTTCTTTCGAAATTACAGTGTATATATTATAACTGCGATAGTCTGTGCGATGTAGATATGAAGTCTCCAATTTCTTCAAAATCGCTGTTTGTCTGTTTTATCTTTTTGTCACAGTAGCATTCTTTCAATTACAAAACCAGCTTACCAAGTCCCAGACCGGTACCTTCTCTGCGAATTCAATTCTCCAACTAAATCGATTGAGCTACTTTCTGCTTTGAATCAATGCCCGTCGCGTTTTTCTCTTTTCTCGGTTGCTCCTTCTCTCTTTATTATACAGGCTCGATAAACACCAACCAGACCACGAGAGGCTCAACAGTATTTTCTTTGTTTTGTCAAGTCAAATTTTCCAGCAGCTTTTTCTCTTATTGAGATGGTATTCTGCTATTGTTTCCTTGTTCAAAATACAAAAAAAATAAAATTTCCACTGCTGGCGTAAAGCTTATTTTTAACTCTTATAGAATAGTCACCGCTTGACTGCTCTGGGCGATAACTAATCAGAAAATCTTTACATACGCACGACTGAATATGGGTTATTGATGTTGCGCTCCGCTGATCTGCTTCAGATCCACAGTTCTGGCTAAAATAAATGATCACTCGCTTGGTATTGAATTTCACTGGAAACAAAAACAGGAAAATCGGAGAAACGGCAGGTCTAAACCTGTATGCTTATCATCAAAACTGTCCACTATATCCATATAGAAGGGAAACCAAACCCGACCATTTCACCCATTCATTGAAAGACTAAGCAGATTCCGAAAATACAGCATTTTTTGTTACAATTAAATGGATAAAATGTGAAATTTGAATAAAAATTTTATTTTTCTGCCAGAGATGAATATTAACTTGAAGTTCTGGGCATTTATAAGAGTAATATTGTTATGCTGATTATCTTAAACATAGTCACAGGCACTAGTGAATTAATATCATTGAGTTTGCACAAAATATGCACATATTTATCTGAAAACTCACATCTCACGCAAGACAGTATTCTTCAAAAGTTTTTCGCTAGGTTTCCATATCACTCTAGGTGTGATTATAATGAAGAGATCTACAAATAATCTTTCGTAATAGAATATATGATGTCGTTTTATCTTGGCTCTAATAACTCAGGCAAACCAATTAAGATGTATACATTTTCACAGAGCAAATAGAAATGAGAAATCCGATAATTTTAGGGTTCAAGCGGTACCTAAACCAAGTTTGCAATTAGCGATCTGACATTGATTATTGAGTTAAAATATTTGCTCATGGCACAAAATTAAAAACTCGATATGTTAAATATACAGTATATAATTTGTCGTGAATATTGATTTCTAATATAATAAAACCAATTTTTCGTTTTTTGTCTGCTTCGCTGTATTCGAAAGTGCATGCGTACTTGTGTGTGCTTGTTAGACGCTCATACACACTGCGCGAGAGAAGTGTTGACGTGGCTGACTTGTTTACCGTCTATGCTTGTGGCGTATTGGAGGTGCGGTTGGTCGGTTCGTGTTCGCGATTGACCAAGGTGCAGCACTCTGCAAAAAGCAATGGATATTGAATTGACATATATATGCGTGATGCCCGCGTGGACGACATTTGGTAGTCACAACTATATAAATCATAGGGGTATGGCCACGTCGGCTTGCGTATTACATTTAAAGTTTGAGCATAACGATTGCCTGTAAAACGAATACTCTAACATAAGGAGGCTGCAATTCACGACTTGCGATTTATATTGCGAGGTAATTTGACCCCGCGAGAACCGACCCGTAAATCCGATTGATTTATAAATTAATACCACCTCCCAGAGACTCTTGACTCTTTGTTCTCTTATTAGCTGTCGTCATCAATATGCCGATTTGAGGGAACAGGTAATTTTCTATTGTTTTTTCATAACGGGAGAATCGCAAAGTCGGTGCGGATTGATCCATTGTTAGCCAGCTAGCCGTATGTCGTACAAAATAAAACACAGCACATCGCTGTTTCTAAACAACAATTAACAGCGGGATTGGCGAAGTACCACGCATATCATATTGTATTGACATCGAACACTGAGCGATTTATGATGTCATGTCCGATTCCTCGAGGCGATTGTTTGGTTGTTTTTATTTGTCTGGGCATGATTCCCGCAGTAAATTAACAAGGCTGACATCACATCATTCCATCTTCAAAAATTTCTTACCCGCTGTGTTTGCGGAATGTAGAATGTTTATCCCTACAATTTAAGATATGTTTCACTTGTACAACGACATCAATTTGAAAACAAGTTATTGCCGAGGCTGCTAATTTCCATATGGGTTAAGTGTCTCAAATGCGGGCTATAAGATCAGTTTATCTGGTATGATTTCATGGTTCTGATCTGCTATAGACTTGGATTTTTTTGCAATTTAAAGAGAAGTTCTCATCTCTCCAACCAAACAATATTCCAAAATGGGTTGTGTCTCAAGGACAGTAGTAGCATCTGTTTGTACTTGTCTTCGTGGATAATGACAGATCAGAGTGATGAATCTGGCAAACATCGAAAGGACATACAGGCGCAATGTAATATTACTGTATTCAAGTTAAAAATGAAGCGCCAAGATTGACTATAGAGCGAACGTATCGATGGCCGATACTGGACCATATCGATACTGGTATCTGCGTTCACGCAGATAACGATGCGGTATCGCACGTATGCTATCTGATACTAGCAATAATAACCAAATTAAGCCTTGCTATCTTTCTATTTCCGGTTTGTAAAAACGTTTGATCACAAAGAAAGTATTTTTAAATTTGTCAATGTCGCGCGGCAGTGCTTCCTGTACTAAAGGAAATGCCAGATTCGAAGTATTCGCATTCACCATTTGCTGTCTGATACCACTGATGTATTTTTAGCTTTGATAATATATTTCAAAAATCACCAAAATAGATTATGTACTGAAAATGTCACAGCATTTAACGCAACCTAAAAGCGAAGTACGCGGGTCTGATTGTTTACGTATTTTTTCCACCTACACACAAACATTTAATTAATATCAGACTAAGGTAAAATAGCTGTATTTGATAGATAATTAAATCAGAGTTTTTTGAATTTTTGATTCTTTGAGAACCATCTTGCCAAACAAACACCGTCGTCATATACTATAATTTTACTTTGGAAACATCATAAATATACAGAAACACTAAACGTTTTAATCCGTGCTGTTAATCCACACAAATATTTTATTGAACTCTGTTGAAAGGGCGAATAAATGAAACATGTTTCGGTGTGTTGCTTAGCACAAATTCAGACAAATCAGGACGAAACAGTGGTGACTAATTAGGATATGAACCACTTTCTTCGTATTAACATATAATAAGTTCTTTAGCACGTACTGCATTCGTCATGACACCTAGTTTGTTGTGATGTGCGTGTATTCTAAACGTCCGGTTGAACTCTGTCAGATATCGATTTGTCAAGCATGGGCCCACGGTTAGGCGCGCTTCTTTGAAGGCCACACTGTTTTCAGCACAAATGTTTTCTGATGAGCCAATGACGATCGGTTAAAAACATGGCAAGTGAACGTGCAAGATATCAGTACAACTCAAAACACGAATTTGCAAACAAGAATTAAGACTGAATATTTATTCAAAATGAACGCAAAAATGTACGTTCAACCAACTCTAGTTTTGGAAGTTAATGGTATTGATTGTAGCCTTGCAAACAAATTCATTACCCAACACTAGTTCAGTAGAATTATATATAATACTACATCACTAGTGCAATGATATATCATCAGCATTGCCGACTTAAGCTAAACATAGTCTACCGATCGGAAAAAGGATAATTACTTAACGCTGCAAAACTGTTTCCGATTGCGCAGATATAATTTTCACTTCCTATTATTTAATGTTTTGACTCAATTAGTTGCGTAATTATAATGTGATAATTTGTGACTGTAGTTATTAGATTTCGTGTTATGGGCACATTTTCCGAGTTTTAGTAATATATATGACTCTAGAGTGGACCGTATGATAATACTGGACACTAACTTAAATTCTTGCGAAGTTAAATCTGTGAGACGAAATTGAAATGTATCTTTCGGTTAGGTATGGCTAACCCATCTTTTCCAATTGAGTTATTTTTGGCCCAATTTCTTTTCATATTGTTAGAAAGCTAACAATTTTTTTACGAGACAAGTACTAAATGTTGATTTCATAGGTATGTGAAGTATACCAAGAAATAGAGTATTTGAACCTAGACGCACACCATTATATTTTAATTGTTAATATATATAAATGCTATTATCAAATCAGCTGGTTCAATTTTATACACACTTGCTAATATTCCTTTATAACTCTATAAATAGATTTAATTAAACATAAAGTTGACAATATAAATGTTTAATGAGAGGATATGTATTGCACAAGGCAAATAAAGTCCTAATGCGCGAGGGACCGGAGGAAACATTAGGTGCTTACCCTGGTTCCTGATTCAAAAGAGTACGAGGATCTTTTTGAATTTTCGTTTTCTACAATCGTTTTAATAGATTCAATAGATGATGCAATACCGAAATTATGGATTTCACTTTACCGCTTTGCTATTCAAATTTGAAAACTTAAATCCAATATACCCAAAAAATAGCGTTATATTGAAATGGTAGAAACCTTATGTCAGGCAAAAAAGAGAAACGAAAATTCGATATAAATAGCTTCAATAACAAACAAGTAACAATAATAGCACTTTATGGTTGTGGTAAAAATACACGGAACATTTTTAGAATTGCATATAAACAGAAAACACC